GCGCGCGCCCTGGACCTGCGCTCCTTGGCGCTGGGGTGTCCCGGGCGAGCGGGTGCTGCCGGCGCTGCGCGTGTCCCGGGGCGTGGGTGCCTGCTGGCGGTGTCGCGTCCCTTAAAGGGACAGAGCGCCGAGCCCGAGCGCCGGCTGCGGGTTTGCAGGCCCTGCGGTGGGCCGAGAGCGGCGGCGCCGAATGGGTCCTACGGATCCGGATCCGGGGTGAAGGTACCTGCGCGGGCGGATTCGGGGTGCGGGTGAGCGAGTGCCGAGCTGGCTGCACGTACACGGCCCGCAGGAGAAGGCCGTCGGCCGTGGAACTGCTCCAGCAGCGGCGCCGTCTGTCTCTGTCTCCCTAGGGTTGACTCGCGGCTCTGGGGAGCCACTTTGTCAGCTCTTCTTTTCCATCTCAGAAGTGTTCTTCTGGAGCCAAGGCGTGGCTATGTGTGAATGCCGGTTGTTAGCAAGCCCAGCCGTCTGAACTGAGATCACGTCTTTTAAAGCCGTTTGTCAAGGTAATTATTTTAGACTTTTAAGGCTTTGTCCCCGGCGTTTAATATGTATCAAGCACCGGTGCTACAAAGCAGTGTAGAACAGGTCCTTTCCCTAAGAGACTTGAGATTGCCAAGCGTGGGGCAGGCGAGTGAGTGGGAGGTCGGACTCCCCCATTACACAAGGTAGAAGGTTGCACAGATTGCCTGAGGCCGGAGCAGGAAGGAGGTCCGCAGAAAGAGGCAGTGGCGCTCACAGTGGTTCCTGCTAAAATCGCTAGTGGAGGGCTTTAAACTTGAATCTGAGTTTTACGAACTCGAGCTCATTATTTACTTTTTTTCTTAAAGTTTCTGGGATTAAGAACCAGGCAGAAATACGAAGGATGAGTATTCAAGGCAGATAGAAGAGCTTCTGTAAAGTCAGGGAATGCCAAGCGCCATGAAGTGTTTTAGGAGGAGGTAAGTATGAGATAACAGCGGGAGGTGTTGCCGAGGCCTGATTGTGGAGGGCCTAATGTGTTGAGTTCAACAGTTTGAACATTATCCCAAAGCAGGTGGAGGAGTCCTGTGCTTTTGAAGTGTAGTGTGCTTGAGCTGCTGGCAACATTTCAGAGCAGTGATTGGTGGTGGATCAAGTGAGTGATCGTTTAGGCTTCTAAAGTCATCAGGCAGATAATGAAAATCTGTTAAACTAAGGCAGTGGCAGTGACACTGAGAAGAGCTGTAGACTTACAGAGGTGGACTGGAAGTCCGAGGTAGGGCTGAGGGAAAAGGAGAATATAGGCTAAGTCCTAGGTTACTGGTTTGAAAACTGAGTAGATGACAGTGCTGTCAATCCAGAGACTATAGGACAGGTAACAGAGGAAGAACTGCGTCTGCCAGACATGTAAGGAGACATATACTTTATGCCCCAGGTACCTCAAGACAAGTGTGTTTTTGTTTGTTCTGGTTTGGTTTGAAGTTCGGTGCATTCATAGTCCCTACTTGTAAGTCTGAGGCAGGAAAATTACTTGAGCCCAAGAATTTAAAACCAGCCTAGGGAATATAGACCTCTATCTCAAGAAAGAAAAAAAAGGAAGTTTACATTTTCCATCTTTGGGAAGCTTTACTTTAGATAGTAGCTGAAACAGGTTAAGAGAGTATTGAAGAGGTTAGGGGTCTCAGGCCTTTAGAGACTTTGATATTTATTTATTTATTTATTTATTTATTTATTATTTTTTTGTTTGTTTTCCTCCGGTACCGGGAACTGAACTCACGACCTTGCGCTTGCCAGGCAGGCACTTTTGCTGCTGAGCTAAATCCCCAGCCCCGAGACTTTGATATTTAGATATTGAGCAATGGAAGAAGTGATTATTGAGGATTAGTAGGCACAGCAAGGGTCAGGAGAACAGTATAGTGGTGTATGTCGCATTTTGTAGAATTTAGAGTCAAGTAGAGAACCTGTTGGATTTGCTAATAGCCAGTTATTAAGGATTTTGTAGGGCAGGGACTGTAGCTCAGTGGCACAGCACTTGGCTGGCAAGCGCAGAGACCTGAGTTCAATTCCCAGTACCAAAAAAAGGATTTTGTAAAAGTTTTTGCACATGCAGTGCAATGTAAGGGTAGAAGCCAGAGTGCAAAGAAGTAGGAGATGGTGAGAGATTAACTGTAGAGATTAACTGGGGGGGGCGCTCAGCATGGTGGCACACACCTGTAATCCCAGCACTGGGGAGGCTGAGGCAGGAGGATTGTCCTGAGTTTAAAGCCAGCATGGGCTACATAGTGAGTTTAAGACCAGTCTGCATTACAGAGTAAGACCCTGTCTCAAAAAACAACAAAACAGGGCCAGGGAGATAGCTCAGCAGCACAGCACCTGCCTGGCAAGTGCAGGGTCCTGAGTTCGATTCCAGGTACCAAAAAAACCAAAAACAACAAAATGAACTGGGAAGGATAAAAGAGAGATTGTTGCTTGATGTTTGTGGCAAGTTAATACTGAGAGATGATACCCCAAAGATAAGTCTGTGGAAAGTTAAAGTTATGTCTTGGTGAAGCATCTCATGGGTGTCCTTTCAGTTGGTGCTCAGAGTGTGATTTATTTCTGTCCTGCATCTTGACTATTAGATGTCACTCCTTTTTGTGGTTCAGTAGTCATTCCAAGCAGTTCCAGTCCAGTGAAGGCAAAATAGACCTCAAAAACTGTCTCTGAATTCCCAGCACCCCCCAAGGACTGTCTGTGAAGACATACTGGTTTCAGTCATTTATGATCAGTAATGTTCTGCTTAAAGAGAAAAGTATACCTGACTGAGATTTCTTGGGTTTAGCTTTTGAACCATGATTTTAGATTTTAGAACATAATTGCACATAATTTGGGCTTTTGAGAGAATGTTTCTCTTATGCTGTGCAGTGCAGCAGTGTTCTGTGTGTATTCTCGATTCCATGCACTTACCTTCTTGTGGCAGTAACTGTGATAAATGGTGCATGAGAGACCACTGAACAGGCTTTGTATAAAGCAGTGGGGCTAGTTTTATTTTGTCCCCATGGAGACGGGCTGAGATCATGAAAGATACCCCTCTCTCTGACACACACACACACACACACACACACACACACACACGCACACACGCACTCACGCACGCGCGCACACCCCCCCCAGAGGCAGAGTTATATAGGGATCAAGGAGGGAGCTGTTCCCTGAAGGAATTTGGGGGGGTGGGATGCCAGTGGTTGAGTTCACAGAAAGGTCTGAAGGGCCGCGCAGGTGTGTAGATAACGTCAGACTCTCCGCACGGAGGAGAGTTTCCTGTCCTGGCCTCATCTTTATGGCCTTCTGCTCTGTGTACCAAGGACAGCATGGCCCATTAGTGGATTCCTATTGTTTGCTAAGAAGGGCATGTTTGCTGACAGAGCCTTGCCTGCATTAGGCAAGACAGTAACTCCCATCACTTTTGAGGAAATTGACTTTTCCTTTCTGGAATGAGAAGGTAGGCTACCTTACTGAGTGAAATAAAAAGTAAACTAGTTTTGTCAATACATTTCCTTTGCTGGATGCTCTGGTAATTATTTTAAAGTACCCAACATTTTATTTACACTGTGGACACATAGTTTTTTAGTTTTTTTGGTCTTTTTGAGACAGGGTCTCGCTATGCTGTTCAGGCTGGCCTTGAGGTCACTTTGTAGCCCAGGTTGCTCTCAAACTTGCAGTGATCCTCCTGCCGCAGCCTCTCGAGTGCTGGGATTACAGGTGTGGGCCACCACACCTAGATAATTTTTTTAAAGTTTAGATTGATTGCAATCTTTTTATCTGCCAAAGTCATGCTTGAAACAGTTGATGTTTGAGAAATCTGTGAAGTTTCACTTTCTATTTCTAAGTCTGAGTTCACTTCCTGCATTGAATTAGATCACCAAAAAACCCCCAAAGTATTAAACTCCACAAACTATTAACTGCAAACTTGAAACTTCCTAGTATTTTGATAATATTCTTCCTTAAATAAAATAATCATATTTTGCCAAAATATAGTGAAGGCTATATCTTTTTTTTTTTTTTTGGTTTTTCTCCGGTACCGGGAACCGAACTTGTGAAGGCTGTATCTCTTAATGGTTCTTGGTATGCCTAGCTTGCAGTGTCTTTATATATGGTAGGCATTGATAAAACAGAAATGATAGTAGTAAGAAAGGGCAAATTTCTGTAGCTGAACTTGCATTACTAGTTTTTTCTTCAGATGAAAGCTATGTAATTCATGTTGTCCTTTTCTTGTTCCCTTCTTTCAGGAAACTCCTGCATTTTGAACTCAGTGAAATTATACTCCTTCTTGGACTTTATTTTGTTTTTGTTTTTTTTTTTTTTTTGGATACCAGGAATTGAACTCACAATCTTGCACTTGCCACACAGGTGCTGTGCCTCTGAGCTATATCCCCGGCTCCAACTTCTTCTAAATGAGTTTTGACCTTTTCGAAATCTTACTTTTAAGTCTTTTGCCATATATACTTATATATTGAAAGCTATCCTAAACTTTTTTTTTTATTTGTTTTTGGGTGGTTTTTTTTGGTGCAGGGAATCACTAAACTGTCTGTAGAAGCATGAAGAAAGTAAGCTTCTACTGAAGCATAGGTGAAAGTGATGTTTAATAAATTTTAAAAATCGGTACACAAGGTAAAGCATTTGCTTGTGCTTAGGCATTCATATGTAATTACCTAATCATAAGTCAGGGAGATATGAGGGAGCTTTTAAAAGCCTCAGCTATGAAGTATAACTTTCAGAATATTAGTGGTTTCCCATTAGCAGAGATTCCTCTGAATTTTAGGGTGATGCTTTTGTGTGTGTTTCTTCTGCTTGGGATGGAAGCAGGGCAAGTACCTTATCATCAAACCACACCCCCATATTCAGATTTCACTGCCATATTTGTATTTCTGTATCCAAACGTTCAGGGACTTCCAAGTTTCCTTTTGTCTTATTTTTCCTTCCTAAAGGGAGATTTTTAGTTGTTTTTTTTTTTTTTTTTTTTTTCCTCATTGTCTTCTAGAAATTTTAATATGTTCTCTGCCTGTTAAGTTCTTGATTCATATCTCATTAATTAGTTTCTTACCTCTGTTAAGGAGTCTACCCTGATGAGAATGCATGGGTTAGGTTCATTTGCTTTGTGGAATAAATTTGCAGTTGGATCTGTAATCCTCCTATCACACAATTTGGTTGATAATTAATGTTCATTGGATACTTAACTGAAGGTTAAGGTTTTAAAGATCAGGTCATTTGGATAATTTTCTGGCCCAATTCCTAATGATTGTTTTCTGTGAAAGAACAATTGATTTCTCTTGGGTATGGTGTTTTCATGTTATTGCCCCAGACTGGCAGATAGTTGCTTAGATCATACTGTTTTTCTGATGAACTCTGTGAGACAGGTTTTGGGGAAGCAACAACAGAGTTTAGGTTCCTTTTCACTTATGTCAAGGTATAGCAACATGGCTTATCCTTGGTTAGTTTAACCTTGATTGATTGGTAAAGGTTGTGTTTCCCAGGAGTCTTAGGTCTGCAGCTTCAAGGAGAAAAGGTTTATTTTGACTCCCAGTTTGTAAAGACCTCAGTCAGCTGGCTCCAAGGCAGGGCAGAATGGCAGAGGGGCATCACAGAGGAGAAAGAGCTCATGACATGGCCGTGGGAAGCGGAGCACAATCGTGGGACGAAGGAAGCTGTCAGCCCTTTCCAGGCCACACCCCCAGTGACCCACCTCCTGCAACCCTCCTCATGTATCCCTCATTTATTATATCTCACTAGAGATCTCTTTGGATTCTGGCTTCTGTCTAGTTCTTAATCCTCTCAGTTTCATGTCATTTGTAGTTCTGATGAACCCACCATGTATATATTAATATGCATATGTATACATTACATATGTATATATACTATATATGTGTATAATGTATATCTTCAAACCTTGACAGATTGGTTCTTGAGGTTTCCTCTTTCCTGGTACCATCTTGCTATTTTGTTCTTTTTCATAGTGCTAGAATGTAGATTATTTTAACCCTTTAACTTTTGAGCTTAGATGGTGAATGTTCTGGTGGTATAAAAACAAAAAGTTGAATGGAATAAAAAATGACTTACTCAGTTAAAACTACTTAGTAAGTTCACATTTATAGCTATAAATTTATAGTGCATTAAAGAGCAATGATGTTTGGGCACCAATTTGTGTATATGTACGTACGCGTTCATATATGAGCCCACACACAGATTTATGCGTGTGTGCTTTCTAAGCAAGAAAATTCATCTGCTTTTGTTTTGAGACAAGGTCTGGCTGTATAGTGCAGGCTGGCCTTGAACTCATTACATAGCCCAGAGTGACCTTGAACTCACACTGATCTTCCTGTCTTAGCCTCTGAGTACTGGGATTACAGATGCGCCACACGCCTGGGTTTGTTCTTGGGGGAGGGGGGCAGGGTCTGGTTGTGTAGTGCAGGCTGGCCTTGAACTCATTACATAGCCCAGAGTGACCTCAAACTCACACTGATCTTCCTGTCCTAACCTCCTGAGTACTGGGATTACAGGCATGCGCCACACACCTGGGTTTTTTCTTGGGGGAGGGGGACAGGGTCTCCCTCTGTAGTGTAGACTGGACTTGAACTCACTATGTAGTTTGGGCTGGCCTTGAACTCGCAGCAGTCCTCCTGCCTCAGTCTTGCCTAGCAGTATAGGCAAATCTGCCTCAGTCTGCTAGGATTATAGGCATGTGGTTTTGTTATTGCTATAGGTTTATACATGGGAATTTTGTGTTTACAGAGAGTTCTGGAACAGACCTTCTGGGAAGATGAAAGCGTTCTTTAGCTTTTGATTTTGTTGCCAGTAAATTATTACTATATTCCAAAATCTGTACTTTGAAAACTGATAAGCCTGTGTCTTTGTGTGTTTCCCATCAGTACTCTACATAATTTTTTTTTTCTTCCTCGCAGTACTGGGCTTAATCTAGGGCCCTTATACTGAGCTACCTCCCCAGTTCTTTTAAATTTTTTTAAATTTTGAAACACGACCTTACTAAATTGCCCAATCTGGCCTCAAACTTGTGATCCTCCTACCATAGCCACACAAAGTGCTGGGAGTCCAGGTGTGCACTATTGTGCACAGCCCCTCTACATAATTTTGAGCCTTTCTGTAGCCCAACTATATATTTCTTTATATTGTTCATTATTAACAGTGAGTTTTCAGGTTTATTTTTCTTTTGCAGTGCTGGGGGTTTAACCCAGGGCCTTACAACACTAGGCTAGCGCCCTTAACCACTGAACTGTATCTCCTGCCCTGCAGTTAATTAGCACAGTGATTAATAAGGTGCCTCACAGAACATTGTGGCTGTGGAGGCACATTTAAATTGGAGACCTGGGTCGCAAGTACGAAGTATACCCATTCTTCACACAGAGTAGGTGTGAAGTGTTATTTTTGACTTAAGGTATTAGCTGTCTTCTTTTCTGGATACAGGTGCAGAATGAGCACATGTTGTTGGTGTACACCAGGTGGTATTTCCACCACTGACTTCCTAAAGTGCTATGCATCCAAGACTGAGTCCCGTGAATTCCAAACAGCCAATGAAGACCTCTGCTACTGCTTGGAGTGTGTGGCTGAATACCACAAAGCAAGGGATGAGTTGCCATTCTTGCATGAGGTAATGTATATGAAATGGGCATTATTTTTCACAACTTTATAAGTAGGAAGAGACGAAGTTGGATTCTGTCAGAACCATTTATGGGGAGGTATCCTACTATGTGGTATATAGGTGTGAGTACTTATCACTGATGGTATCGAATTGAAACATAAAGAAGAATGTTATGATCTATCACCTCATTTTAGTATAAAACAGTTTATGAAAGGAAGTCATTAACAGGGTATTTTTGTTCAATTTTTTATGTCAGTGCTATGTTAATGTATGTGAATGGCTTGGGTGGTTTTATTTATTAATGGTCTTGTCTTTGTCATGAGTGGAAGATTATAAACCTCTGAAAGCAAGCATATGTGGTTTATTACATTTACCTGATGAACGGTAACACAGATCCCAGAGATGTATACAATTTTGGGGGGTGGGGATGATTACTTATGAATCTGTGTTGAGAAACTTGGATTTTATAAACTTTCCTAATTTTTTTTATTTTAGAGAGAAAAGGAAACAAACTTCAAAATAAGATAATAGGAGGATAACAATGGTGTTAATACATTGCATATTATCTTTAGATTAGTTACTTAGAATACAAGATACAGACATTTAATTGTCCAAACAATGTTAGCACAAGCCTTTCTTTTCAGTGAACTAAGAGAAATTAGTAGTATAAGTATCTTAACTATTTTCTATATGTATGCACATTTTTTTTTTTACTTTTCCTTTCCTTCTTTTCCCTCATCCCAGTTTCTCTTTCCTTTTGAAGTTTCTTCCCATTTTGCAATATCTATTGTACATTTTAGATCTTATTTACTCTTTCAGCTTCTCACATGAGGAAGACCAAGTGATGTTTACACCTGTGCATCTGGTTTATTTCACTTAGGAGTTTGGTCTCTAGTTGCATCCATTTTCTTATAAAAATCTCCAGTTTATCCTTCTTTGTGGCTGAGTAGTACTCCATTTTAGAAAAAGACCACATCTTTTTTAGCCATTTCTCAGTAGATGGGCATTGGGGTTGTTTCCAAGATCTAGCTATTACAAGTTGTGCTGCTATAAACATGGGTGCACATATCAGTGTGGTATGATGCTCTTAATTCTTATAGGAAGATACCCAGAAGGAGAACAGCGGGGTCAAGTGGGACCTCCAATCCTAGTTTTTTGAGGAATCTCCGCACTGATTTCCACAGTGGTTGCAATAGTCTGTGCTCCCACCAACAGTGGAGAAGGGTTCCTTCTTTCCCACAGCTCCTCCAGCATTTGCTACTGGTTGATTTCTTGATAATAGCCATTCTTTCTGGGATGAGATGGAATCTCAGTGTTATTTTAATTTGCATCTCTCAAATGACAAGTGATGATGAACATTTTTTCATATATTTATTTGTTATTTGTATTTCTTCATCTGAGAAGTATGTGTTCATCTGAGATGCCCATTTTTGGATAGGGTCTTTAAATTTGGGAAGTCTTGATTTTTTTGTGTGCGGGGGATTGTTTTTATGTTCTCAATAGTAATCCTTTGTCTGAGGAACAGGTGGCAAACGTCTTTTCCCACATTGTAGCTTCTCTCTTCACTCTTGGTGGTTTCTCTTGCTGTGCAAAAATTTTGTTTTGTTGTTGTTTTTTTTTTGTTTGTTTTTTCTCCGGTACCGGGAACCGAACTCACGACCTTGCGCTTGCCAGGCAGGCGCTTTTGCCGCTGAGCTAAATCCCCAGCCCGATGTGCAAAAATTTTTTAATAAGATGAGATCCTAGTTGTTGATTCTTTGTGGTAGTTCCTGGGTGATCAGAGCTTTATTCATAAAGTCTTTACCTACAGCAATGTCTTCAAGAGTTTCACCTATTCTATCTTCCAGCAGATTTAATGTTTCTGTTTTAACATTTATTTATTTACTTACTTTTGGTACTGGGAATCGAACTCATGACCTCAGGCTTGCCAGGCAAGCACTTATGCCACTGAACTATATCCCCGTCCCTGTTTTAACATTGAGATCTTTGATCTAGTTCAAATTTAGTTTAGTGCATGGGGAAAGATGTAGGTCCAGTTTTAATCTTTGGCATGTGCAGAGCCAGTTTTCCCAGCACCATTTATTAAAGAGGCTATCTTTCTCTCGTTTTTGGCACCTTTGTCAAAGATAAGGTGGCTGAGTCTACAATTGTTTCTCCATGTTCTGGTCTGTGCCATTGATCTTCAGGTTTTTTTTTTTTTTTTTTTTTGTTTTTTTGTGTTTTTTTGCCAGTACCATGCTGTTTTTATCACAGTAGCTTTAATAGTATAATTTCAAGTCAAGGATAATGATTTGTCCTGCCTTGCCTTTCTTGCCCAGAATTGCCTTTGCTATTCTAGGTCTCTTCTGGTTCCAAATGAATTTTAGGATTGTTTTTTCTAAGTCTGTGAGCTATGCTGTTGGAATTTTGATTGGAATTCCATTAAATCTGTATAACATTTTTGATAGTATGGCTATTTTTACTAAATTGGTTTTTCCTACCCAAGAGCAAGGAATGTCGTTCCATTTTCTAGATATCCACTTGAGTTCTTTTTCAGAGTATTATAGTTTCCTATGTAGAGGTCTGTTACATCCTTTGTTAGATTGATTACTAGGTATTTCATTCTTTGAATGTTATTGTGAAAGTGTTGTTTCCCTAATTGCTCTCAGTGAGTTTGTTATTTGTGTACAGGAAGGCTATTGATTTTTGAGTATTGACTTGTATCCAGCTGTGCTACTGAATTTGCTTATTAAATCTAGCAGTTTTTTGGTGGAGTTTTTGGGGTCTTTTAGGTAGAGTATAGTGTCATCTGCCAAAAATGATAATTTAACTTCTTCCATTCCTATTGTTATTCCTTTTATTTCTTTCTCTTGTTTAATTGCTCTGGCTGAAGTTTCCAGGACATGTTGAATATGAGTGGAAACAGTGGACATTCTTGTTCCTGTTTTTAGAGAGAAAACTTTCAGCTTTTGTTCATTTAGTATGATGTTGGCTCTTGGTTTGTTATGCATGGCTTTTATCAGATTGAGATAAAGACCACCTGTTCCCATTTTCTGTAAGGTTTTTACATGAATGGGTGCTGACCTTCATCAAAATCTTTTTCTGCATCTATTGAGCTGATCGTATGATTTTTGTCCTTTGCATTGTTAATATGGTGTATTACACATTTATTGATTCACGTATGTTAAGCCATTCCTGCATCCCTGGGATAAATCCCAGTTGGTCATGGTGTATAATCTTTTTGGTGATTTGATGTATTCTGTTTGCCAGTTTCTTATTGAGGATTTTTGTGTCTATGTTCCTTAGAGAGATTGGCCTGTAATTCTCTTTCTTAGTTCGGTCCTTCTCTAGTCTTGGTATTAGTGTAATGCTTGCTTCTAGGAATAAGTTTGGGAGTGTTGCTTCCCTTTTAATTTCATTAAAGAGTTTGCAAAGTAGTGGTGTCAGGTTTTGTCTAAACATGTTGTAGAATTAAGCAGTGAATTTGTCAGGAACTGGGCTTTTCTTTCTTGGTAGGTTTTGAATTACGTCTTTGATTTTATTGATTGATACCATGTTAATTAGAAATTTTATGTCTTCTTGATTCAACTTTGGTAATTCATATGTATCTAGGAATCTGCTTTTCTTCTGCATTTGCCATCTTATTAGAATACAAGTTTTCAAAGTAGGTATAGATGATCTATATTTCTGCAAGGTCCATTGTGATTTCACTCTTCATTCCTAATTATGTGGCTTTGAGTCTTTCCTTTTTTTTGATGAGGTTGGTTAAAGATTTGTTGATTTTATTTAATCTTTCAGAGAACTCACTCTTCAATTCATTGATTCTTTGTATTTTTTTTTCCATCTCCAGTGCATTAATTTCTGCTCTGATCTTTGTAATTTCCTTGACCTCATACACGCTTTTGGATTAGCATGCTCTTCTTTTTCCAAAAGTTTGAGGTTCACCATTAAGTTATTTATTTGTACTTGTTCTGTTTTCCTGGTATGGGTATTCACTGCTATGAATGACCCTCTTAGGACTGCTTTCCTTGTTTCCCCAAAGTTGCAGTATGTTGTATTGTTACCTTTTAATTGTAGAAACTGTCTAATTGCTTCTTGAAAGAACCTTTTTTTTTTGTTTTTTTTTTCCGGTACTGGGAATCGAACTTACGACCTTGCGCTTGCCAGGCAGGTGCTGTACTGCTGAGCTAACTCCCCAGCCCCCTAATTGCTTCTTTAATTTCATCTATCACCCATTGGTTGTTCAGAAGGGTGCTATTTAATTTACATGTTTATGAAGTTCTTGTGGTTTCTTTTGCCATTAATTTCCAATTTCTTTGCACTATTGTTTTATATGCATGGGGCAATTTAAATTCCTTTGTATTTACTTAAACATGTTCTGTAAGCAAGTATGTGATCTGTTTTGGAGAACATCCCTTGTGCAGTTGGAAAGAATGTGTATTCTGATGTGGGGTAGAACACTGTAGACGTCTACTAAGTCCATTTGTTCAGAAGTTTGGTTCAGTTCTAATATTGCCTTCTTGTTTTTTTTTTGTCCAGTAGATCTTCTTGTGACAGTGGGGTATTAATGTCCCCCAATACAATTGTATTAGTACTTAACTAGCTTTTGCATGCCCATTAATACTTGTTCTATACGGGTGGGTGCACTGGTATTTGTGGCATATATATTTATGATTGTTACCACTTCCTCTTGGATTGTTCACTTTGCAAGGATATAGTGACCTTCTTTGTCTCTCTTAATCAGTTTTGGCTTGTAATTCACTTTGTCTGCAAATAAAATAGCTACCCCTGCTTTTTTCTGTCTTCCTGTCACATGGAATATTGTTTTCCATCCTTTGACTTTCAGTCTGTGAATTTCTTTTTAAATTCAGTGTGTTTCTTATATGCAGCCTATTGTTGGATCTTGCTTCTTGATCAGTTCTGCCAGTCTGTGTCTTTTGATTGGTAAACTGAGACCATTAACATTGATGGTTATTACTGATACGTATTGACTTATCCTTCTCATGTTATGTTCCTGTTATTGGTGCCCC